GCTCTTTTGCTTTATTTCCAGATAAAAGGGGACAAACAAATTTGTCTTAAAGCATGGCCCAAGGCCCCAAGCTTCACTGCCAGTGCCTTCCGACATCCCACTTTGCATGTGTGTTCCTTACACCCTCGCCAGAGGGGTACGGCATCCAGCCTCGCAGAGCTTTGGGAAGGGAAAACCTCCTGGAGATCAGTCAGAGCTTGGCTAAGCAGAGGCTGGAAGGCTCGCTCTGTGGAAACACTGGCTGCTGAGTATTCCCAGCGGTTTGGGAGGAGCAGAGGTGAGAAAGTCAAACCAGGAGAGTGAACAGAGAAAACGCAAAGAAAAGAAAAAGAGGAGGGGGACAGGGTGAATGTTGCAGATCTTATGCAACTGAGAAGAGGCGGCCGTACCTGGAAAATGCATCGTCTGTGCTTGCAGATGAGTGAAGAGACGGGCACCTCTGACCGTCCATCCTCCCTTGCTGAAAAACATAAGCACACACATTTCTTTTCAAGTTTGCGTGGAGAAGGCTTGAAAATGCCACATGTGTGATAAAATGGCTCTGCTGTATTTCCTGCTCTAAGACTTGGCCACTTGGTGATTAAGAGCTGCTTTTGCTGTCAGTAAACAAGACTGTGCCATCAGTCTGCAGAGCAGGGACCTGCAGCTTGCTGCAAACAGCCTGGCGCGTGCACGCTGCTGGAGCCGTAGTTGTTACCCTCGATGCAGGCTTTGCGTGTGCAGAACACAACTCTCAGCGGTGCAAGCCATGCTCGTGACATAAAATAAGTTTAATCTGCAGGCAGCCCCTCCGAGGGAGCTCGAATCTGTGGTCACCCTGCTAAACAGTCGGCCCGGGGCCCAAGCGCGGTGGTGGTTTTATTCTTGTGGCCGCACCTGGTTCAAAACAACGGAAGCGAATCCAGAGAGCACATGGCAGATAGGAAGAACGTGCAGGTACTTCCTACCCAAGCCAACTTCAGCGGTGTCTGCAAAAAAAACCCGAGAGGCAGCTGGTAAAGTCGGCTGAAGCTGAGGTAGCGCCTGAGGCCAATTTACCAAGGCCTGGTGTCTTGTGCCACCGCTGCTGCCTGCGCCCGGAGAACTGCAGAGCAGACGGAAGATACGGAGGTGTGGTACTGCTGGGCTCCCGCCGGCGGGAGAAATAACCTGGCCCTACGCACCTGACCATCTCATCAAGCCGGACCCTCACAGTTTGCTCCAAAGCTCGCAGGGTCTTGTGCTAACAAAAGGATAATCTTTACAGGATCGTTTCCTTATCCCCCCTTCCCTCCTGGAATATTGTGTATTTTGAAGCGGTCATTATAAAACCCAAGCAAAACACAGGGGATCTTGTTCTTTGCAGTTTTTTAGAGTTGGTGTAAAGCCGTGAAAAACACGGCAGGCTCAGAACACTCCCATTTCGCACTCACTTGGTGTGACTGTAAACAACCGCACAGCAATGGAAAATCCCAGAGCGGCATGCCCCTGGCCTGCAGGGCTTTGCGGGCCTTCCAGGAATCAACAGAGAGGCAGTTATTTACAAAGCTGGAAGTGAAGCTTTAGGGATGCAAAGCTCCGACTCATACAGAGCTGGATGTGAGGGTTTACCCGTGCCATCTTTCAGGACTCTAATAAGAATTACACAGTTAAAGATTCAAGCACCAGTGTGAAAACACTGTCACTGAGCGTGTAATTCTGTGCCGGGGGCTCTCGGGTCCCCTCGCTAACGGAGCGGAGCGCGGATCCGTCGGTGCAAGGACAGTCTGCGCCACTCGGGGATTCGCCACGATAGCTGGAGTCGTCCACTTGGACCGGAGATAAAATACCAAACCGTAACAAGATCGTGTATTTCAATTGGTACCAGTCATAATTTTTAGATGTTTCTTTCATGCAGTTTGCAGTCGCTAGGGCATGAGCCGGGGGGGGTCAAAGGCTGGCTTTGTTTTTCCTCTCTGCCTTTGTTTTCCTTTTTTGTTAGGGAAATCATCTATTTGCTCCGGAAACACTGCAATTAAGGTATGGCGGGGGGGGTCAAAGGCTGGCTTGCTTTTCCCTCTCTGCCTTAGTTCTCCTTTATGCTGAGGAAATCATCTAATTGCTCCGTGCCTATTTCCAGGTCTCCGCAATGGAGGTGCTACCTGCCTTCCCTCTGCAGAGCAGAGAGCGAGAGACGCTAGGGGCCTGAACCAGCGTCACTTGGAAGGAATTTGCCCCTGACTTCCAACAGCAGGACCAGGCTCTCTGCGTTGGCATGAAGAGCGGGATATCGCCTTGGATAGTAGACATTAATTAGCAGGGGTAGTAAAACTTCCAACTACCTGGCCGATCTCAGAGTGGCTGCTGGTAGGATATACACGTGGGTCGTTCTTGTGGGGCTCAGGCTGAGCTGGGTACTGGCGGAGAGGTTGTCCGGGTCCCGAGCAGTTATATTGGTATAAACCTGCAGTAACATAACGTTCGAGATTAATTGACAGAAGGAGCAAACCTGAGTATCTTGCAGTGAAAAGGATGAGTTCTGAAGTGGCATACGCAGGCTGGAAAGCTTCGCAATTGAACCTGCAAATTTAATTTTTTTTTTTGGTGGGGAAGTTTTACTGCTGCTTGCAAGAAGAAAATGAGTCGATTATCAACGAGATTCATATTTATTTGTTAATCTCTCAGAAGTGCAATCTACATTAACCTTCAAGTGGAGAGAAATAGTGGTTTGAAAGGGGGAAGAAAAAAAAAAAAAAGGCAAGGCAGATTTTTCCGTGGCGGCATCTGGGGAAAAAAAAATCTTTTATTCTAAAATTATCAACAGGTATTTTCCATAGAAATTAGCGGGGGGAGACGAGGAGTAAATCAGAGGTGAATGCCTGCTTTGAGGTGAGGGGGGGAGGCGGGAAGGCAGCGACGCTTGGGCCACCCTGAAGGACGCGTCAGCCTTTCTCCTCTGACAGGGGCTGCTGGCCGCGGCCCGCCCGGCGCAGGCAGAGCCGATTTAAATGCGAAGTTGTGCCAAAACTTTCCGAAGTTAATTAAACCCCCACACGCCCCCCCCCCCCCCCCCCCCCCCCCGCTCCCGTCGCGGCCCCGGGCCCCCCCCGCCCCCCCCCCCCCCCCCCAGCCACAGGGCACCCTGCCCTGAGCTGGCACCCACAGCAAAGGGTTTCTCTTCCCATCTCTCCCCTGCACACACATGGTGTCCTGCTCTTCTCCCAGGACATCCCATCTCTCCACAGAGCCTTTCCTCAAGGTGGGCACATCTGTGCTGGCCTGGCCAACCATTTCTGCGCCCCCTTCCCATGCTCTCCACAGCCCCTGAGCTGGTGGGGCTGCTCTGCAGAGCAAGTGGGCTGTGGGACCTGGGGTCACAGGGTGACTCCCCAGGGCTGTGCTGGTCAGGCTGGGAGGCAGAGCCAGCTCAGGGGCATCACTGCCACTGCCTGCCTCCCACAGAAGCTCTTCTGTGGCCACGGAGGGGGCTCAGAGCTACCCTGCCTTATTGCCAACCCCAT